GGCAATACCAAGGATAAGAATAATAATGAGAAAAAGCAGAAGAGGAAGAATAACAATAAGAAAAAAGTAAGTGTTAGACGAATAGTTTTGGACTGGGAAACTCACAATAAAATGACACTGAAAAACTTGTCATTTTGAATTTTTCAAAATTTGTTGCAACTTTCCCTTCCTTTTTTTGAATGATAATGACGAACTAAGGTGGTGGTCTAACTAGATATAAACCATGAGAAAAAATTGAGTGATACTTACTGGACGATGATGGGTCCCCTCCCGTAAAGGCCTTATATCAACGCGTTCACCTTCTTCTTCTATTCTAACTGACAAATATACGCCCATATGATCTTTTCGTACTTTTAATTCAGAAGCTTTGTCAACAAATTCAAATGAATCACTGTCGAATCCTGAGCCGTCAGCGCCAATCCCATCACGATCATAGGCAGCCAGTCCGGAAGAGTTATAGCTAAATCCAAAATTACCGGCAGACATTTTAATGTCAAATGATTTAGATTTTACAGCACTACTTTCAGACCAACCATCGGTTTACGCTAAAATTTAACTACACTTCACTGAGGGATAAAGTTTACCATCATTTAAAACGTGCGAGACGTCTTAACTATGTATCCAAATTAAGTAAATGAGTTGCAAATAGACAGCACAGTTTAAACAAGCCAAATATATACACATCTTCTTCAAATTACCTTGCAACACGCCCTACAGATCAAAAATAACCAAAATAATGAGTATACAGCGTCACACAACTAAGGGTTTAGTGAACAATGCTGCTTACCAGCGGTTAAGGGAAAAATCCGAAGCCTTGGCAAACTTTCAACTGGCATTAATTCAAAGCACTTCTCATTTGGCGCCACTGGTAATCATTTAAGAGAGTCATTTTGTTCACATATTATGCAGTGAAGTGTTAGTTTCACTTTTAAATCGTTAGATCACTTCGTTTGGTCATACTAATACATATACCTCTCATTTCAGTGGTCGGGTCCTCTTTACTGGTTGTAATGAAAAACAGTGAAGTTTATTATGATTAGAATTCATTTGCTGAAAAAAGATGGGACCGGTAAACTGAAAGAGCTCCATGCATATTAGGCACATCAAAATAAAGAAGTTTAACACAGGGTCACTGTATGAAGCTCTTATATTATGAGAGCAGCTATGTGATAATGGACATGATTTTGGGCATCAAAGGCGGTTATTGACAGTCATTATATATACATGTACATTTTGTGCAGCAGTTTTGGAGTCATGAAGCGCCAACCAGTATGTGACGCATGGTCCATTTGCGACGTAGGTATATAGTAATTTCACTGCTAAGGTTTTTTATTTAAATAATTGCACTAAAAACTCACATTCATTAGAAGCCAATCAGTATGGAAATATATTAGGAACAAAATTAGAAAAAAGCTATCATTGAAATCACAACAAATGATTACAGTGGGTTTAGAAAAGTTGTAGGGAATAGAGGAGAACGGAAAAATAAGTAAAAAAATTGATTCGTGGTCGGTGATACAAAACAATGTTTTTCTCGTAGTCAAGACCAGATCTTCCTGATACTTCAGGGTTCATTTTTACACGTGTACTGTGGTCTTTTGCCTAACTGTTTTTGTCGACTGTCACAGAATTACAGTCTTTTTACGGCAAATATGTTTGCTGATCTACCACGTCGCTTGATCAACTTATTCGGTTAGTATCAGTATGTTTGGATTCTTAGAAACTAGCCAAAGTTCATTTAAGTTAGCTGTACTGTCTTGCCTCATTTTGAAAATCTGTAGTTATTTCATTTCGTTTAGTGATCCAGTTGGCACGTTTAGTATCGTGGTTTTTCAGTTGTTCTACCACTTGGTTACCTTCTTTGACAGCTTAATTTCGCGGTTTACAGTTAGTCCTTACAGACGATTTGTCTAAACAACTGTATAACATTTTTGCAGATTTTGGTGTTTCAAGAGCGAAAACTTCTTGTTTACTGAGTGCTGGCTTATCGTGTTGCATGATCATGAAAATAAAGAATTTTGGGTTTTACGGTGCATTTAACTGTAGGCTATGTATATGCAAGAATTAATGTATAATTTTTCGAATACTGGTCTTTGGTAGTTTGCGGGGCAGTTTGCGAAATGATTTTAAACACCATACATTTCAAGCATTTACTCTTATTTTTTAGGAAGGTTGACGATGTCTGATGGAAGAACTAAGTCGGCTACGAGGAATGCCGTTCAACTCGTTCAACAGCTTATTTCAAATCCAGATATTATTCCACCATACAATGTTAATTTTTGCTTCCCTCACTTTTTGGACGTGATCTTACTGTATTCCTTTATTCAATTTTGTTTCTTAATTCTTTGCGGTTTTATTTTCTGTAATTCAATTTTCCGGGAGTAAAGCATCTACATGTTAACGATGAGCTCTTCAACGTTTGATTACTTGGAATTTTAAGACAAAACTCTGAAATATAGAATTTGTTATTTTATAATAAGAGCTAAAGTTTCCAGAACGAACTTATGAAGAAATGTATTCAACAGATTAATGATCTCTACCAGGAGAATGCGAATGATGCGTAAGTTTCTTTGTTTTCAACTAATAGTACTTTGAAATCAAGGTTTGTGCTCATTTGTTTTTCTGTCTAAATATTGAAAAAGTGTTGAAAAATACGGTACACTATGATAAATGTTTATCTTCATGTCGTGAGTTTCCAATGTTCATAATTATTTCTTCAAGCATGGCTATTCATTCGGAGTGTGAGGACAAAACACAGCGCACTCATAATTTGTTGGCTCGTCAGAGTTGTATTGAATTTATCAAAAGGTGCTGCTGTGCATACATAAATAAACGTATGGAACGGCTCAAAGCAGAACGGTGGAAGCGCGCGGGTAATATACCGCAGTCAATTAAAGTGAATTTTTTTTTGATTTGATCTCAAATTAAAAAGGAGGTAAAAAAATTAAAAATTAAATTCAAAGTTTTTTGCCAATTTCTGGATATAATACAAAAAGTCGAATGTTAAAATTCTAGCTTTTTTTTTTTTAAATTGGCGCGGTAAGCGGGATTTCGAGCTATGTTTCCACCTCCTTTAAGATCAACTTCATCTCCAATTGGGCTTCCTAAACTTTCTGGCCTAAAAAGTTTTAGGCAAGTCATAGGGTAGAACTACATTCTAAGGTTTCAGCGTGTTTTTCTTGATTTGGGAAGGGGATTAAGTTTTGCTGAAGGTCTAATCAATATTCTTGAAGGCGAACTTGTGCGCTGCTGAGATTCAGTGGCTGAAAGACTACGAACTAAACTTAGCAAAGTTCCAAGAAGAGTTTGGCGATGAGGATACTGTTTTAAATCTCATGACAAACATTAAACCTGCCAAGTCTTTGTTTGTACAGGTTCGATCTTTCTTTTTATTAGTTGTAAGTTACAAAATTCATCCGATAAGTGAGATTCATGGGTGTCAAGAAATAAACGCCTTTGATTCTTTTTTGCTGTGGTGGGACTCTCAGAGTCTTTCTTTAGGTGCAAGCGGTTGAAGACTACGGTGAATTTGAACTTTCTGATGGGTCAGTTGTAGTCCTGAAAAAAAATTCATTGGTTAGTCGCTTTTTAACTAATTTTAACAATGAGGAAAAGTTAAATTGAAGGTTATCCTTCCCGTGAAGGTAAGAAATAAAATGACGGAATTCTACTCCTGTCTTCATTATTATCTTTCTAGCACTCGTTGCCACGATGTGATTGCGAGATGTTGCTGAAACAAGGGATCCTTGAATTTGCTAACAAATGATGTTATATCTTTGAGATAGTACTTTAATCAATATTCATATTTTTAAAATGTGTACAAAAGTGTTAACTGTTCAGTGACAGAAGAACCGGTAAATTGCTGACAGATGTTGCCATGTAGCTTTCGTCATACAATAAAAGGATTGTGATACAGAACTTGTTTACATGTGTTCCTTTGTCGTAGAATTTTCAAACCTCTCTTGACAGCGACATTTGTCTTAGTTTTCTTAGAAAGTAAGTAAGCATTATATTGAAGCTTTCGTATTAGTTAAGTACCATTTGGCACTAACAATAATATCTTGTAATAACTGTAGTACGGCTCAGTTTTGTGTGAGCAGTGATTAACACTAATCTTTTCAGATCTGCAATGGATTTTGGTTTTTTATAAGGTTTCCCTGAATTAGTTACCACTAATTGGATAAGGCAAGTGATGAAGCTAAATGTACTTGTAAAAATTCAAGCCCTCACTTATCGTTGTATGCGTAATTCGCACAAAAGCGCTCTGTTTGTTAATGAAGTTCCGTCTTCTAAGCTTTCAGTTGTTGACTTCCTCCTTCATAGCCACTTAATATAATGAGTTTTTTTGCTATTACTCAGTTGTTCTTTTGGGTCTCTTGAGGGCTCAGAACTATGTTTTTTTAACCATCAAATTGACTCTGGAATCTGGCGTTGTTTGGTCTTTTCTTATCATTACCAAAGCAGCGCTTAGAAGAAGAAGATGAAAAATATGCATTACTTTGTGACCTGTATGGTCTCATCTCTTTATCTAAACTAAGCAGGTTGTTCAATGGTAGTAAAGCAATGCTGGTCTCGAACTAAATGGTGCAAGTCAGGCAGGAGTTAAAAGTGTGTTTAGAAACTCATCCATTTTCGTCTTCCAACGTTGTTACTAAGCGGTTGCGGGGGGCGGGTGCCCAGTAAACAACGCTTCAAATTAGTGCTTCTTCATCCTCTTTTTGGCCATTCGTGCTCTTCTTACGAGATGCTTTTATCAATTCCTTTTTGGTCGTCAAAGTCTACTTTCATGTTTACATGGGCTTTGATTAATGGGAGAACTCAAGTGCAGTTTTGAAATTCAACTTCAGTCTCAGAACATTCGACCATAACCCGAAGCGTTCGTCGCTTTTATAGAGCTTTTGAGGTTTCCATCTCACTGGGTTATCTGGTTAAAAGTAATCGGTTAAGAAACTGTAGAAATATGCTCAAAAACTCCACACGAGAAGGATGGGAAGTACCTACATAAAAATAAAATTTTTGATGCAATCACATTAGTGTAAAGTAATTTCAGATTTAGTTGTGTTTGATTAGCACTGATATTTCACACACCTTAAAATTATGCTAGGTCTGTAAAATAAAAGTTGTAATAATGAATAAATTGATTCTAAATTTTTATCCATCCAGGTAAGCTGCAGTAAGCGGCAACAACGCAGCTGTACTCGCTAGTGTTTACCAAAGAAAGGAAATGCTTCATTTAATAGTGAATTAAGAGTTGCATGTTACATTTTGCAGTTTACTTTTAAAAGATTTTCATTGGAAGTACTTGCATAACAAATCTAATAGTTAGGAAGTAGGCCTGGGCAACCGAGGGCCTAATGTACCATCAGTTATCAAACACTGAAATACAGCCCTTTGAACTGCAATTTTGCTTCGTTACAGTATACGTAACAGCATCCTTTGACACATTCTCTGAAACTTCAAATATCGAGATCTTCTGTAGTTCTGATAATCATTCCATTTCTGAGTTAATGAAGTCCGACATTCAAGTACATGCATTTTTACCAATTATTTTTTTTTTTTAATTGAAAAGTTAAATGGAATTTCTAAAATTAGATTTTTTTTTTCTCTTTTTTGATGTTATATTTGTCACCAAATTTGTAGTGCTTTGCTAGAAATCATGAATGATCATTTCCTTGGTGGAATCAGTTTCTTTAAATTTTTTGTGGAACCTGTTTTACATTCGTTTCCGTAAATCAGTTCTTTGCTTCATTACTGACTGCTTCGCTCACGCGCCTAGTGTAACTGCACATTTTCAAGAAGGGAATTAAGGATTTTCTGGGAGTTAACATTGACCAAACGTGACGGTTATCGTGATTTGCAAAACGATGAGATTTGGACATCAGAATTATTTTCTTTTTTGTTATCTTCATCAAAAAATAAAATTGTGGGATAGTTCTCTGTATTTGTAATCCCCATCGCAAAGTGCTTCTGTGGTTATTAATGCAAGACAATTATGAGGCACTGCTGCAGTTGTTAAGACAGATTCACTTTTTTTACTGTCTAAAAATTTGCTTTTTTCAGTTGTGAATAATTTGCTACTTGCTTATAAATTAGCTTTTTGTTCTCCGTAGTCCGGTCTGTCGCTTTTGGATTATTTAATTTGCAAACAGACCAGAAGCAACTGGTTTCACTTTTATAGTTCGTTGACTTTTTAATGGAAGCAGAAAATAAACACTTTTCTTTTTCATTTACCGTATGGTTCGTAAAATTTATTCATTGTAACGGAAGTGAAAAAAGTACGATGTTAGACTTTAATCTCCTTGGAAAAGAATAGAAGGAAGACTTTTTGGTTTTATAGTTTTTGCTTGAGATTTTTAGTACGCAATTTTTTCTCTGTTGAAGCGGATTGTAACAGTGTTACGGTGTAGTTGTAGATGACAAAAAAAATTGAATATTATTTACCGTTTGAAGCCAGAAACTACATTTTCAGTTGAAGCACAAGGTCTGTGAGCAAGAGGCAAGGGGGAATCAGAAAAGAAGATTATCTTGCGCTCTCAACTAGTTTATAATTGCTAAGTATTTTTATTCTCAACCGGCTGAAAGCTAGATGAATAAAGTGACATTTATTTAGTCCACTGACAACGACGAGTATCAGTATAAAAGACCTATGCTTTTCGCTCTATCTGTGAACTATAAGGCATCAGAGGAAAATAATGTTGAAGCTGTATGAATCCGCCATTTGTTTAATCATCATTATAGTTGCGTTTGGTGTAACAATTGACGCAGTAGCGTTGAATCCCTGTTTTGGTCCCACTGCACTATCATCGCTGCCAACATACTGTGGCCCAGAAGGATTTGAATAACCTTTGGTAATGTCTTGTAATCTCGTACATAAAACTATAAAACTGAATCTTAGCTGACCATAAAAAGTTTTAAAAAAACAGATAGCTCCTAAAAATTATTAATAGTTATAAATTTTTCAAAACATTAATCGATTTACCAGACTTTTCTATGTGCTCGTCAGAAATCCTGCTTCATAAACAGTAGTTATAGAAGATGCGATGAATGCAAAAAGGAAAACAACTTCTAACTGTTTCAGGTTACCAGTACTGTTACTAAGGATCTACTAGCAAAAACTAGAAAAGATATAGTATCAACAACCAAAGGGCCAATGAAAAATACTTGCACGTTTCAGTTCTGCGTTCTACTATTATAATTTATAAATCTAAACTGCATTTATTCAGGTCAATAACCTTCAAGACGTCCAGTCACATTCCATTCACTGTCATTTTTCCAAAATGCTAATGCTGTTTTCGAGGACTGCTGCTCAAGAACGACTCTCAGATAACGTCCAACTTTTACTTTACATTGTATTAATTATCAGTGCAGTATTTTGGTAATTTGATTCAATAAACAATAAATTCCCATTTTTTTTGCCGCTAATTTTTACAGTCCAGATTTTATCGCTAACCAAATCCAGAATAGCTACTTAGAAATGAACTGGTCATCGTGAGAGAAAATTGAAAAAAAAAGTACTTTTACAAGGACACTGCTTCTCAGGAAAAGCGTGACCAGTTTATCACCAACAATTAGTGCCCATTTATAATAAATATGCTTCAACTCTCTTAAAACTGAAAGAATAAACATCTCTGGAACACCTTCAAATGCCTCCCTGCTTACTGAGTAGAAATTTATGAAAACCAGAAATCAGAAAGTAAGCTTTCCATTACTTTCTAAGCTGTATACTAAGTTTCCTGTATTCCAAAAATCAGAGCAATAATCTTGAAGAAATTCTGTTCAGAGACTTGTGGCTTAACTTTGCCAAATGGGTTTTTCACTAGCAGAACTTTATTTCCATTTTTTGATACAGCTTCACAACAGCTCCTCATTACCTTCTTTCTTCAGGCTGAAAAACAAACTAACCGACATTTTTTATTGCCCATTTTTTTAAAAAGTGCTACTTAAATGTCATGTTTAGTGAATTTTTTTAACTAAATAAGTGAACCACAATTATATGAAGTGTTTTTACTGCAATTTTTGTTATAACGTGGCCTAACTGGTGTTAAATGATCAAAAAAAGATATGTTCTACGCCACCTCTTTCCGACAATTTCGTTTGCTCCTTGCAATATAAAAACATAAATCTGTCACTGCGTTTCATAACGAATTATTTGAAGCATTATCTTCTCTGCAGCTAACAGAAATCCACCTTACACGCTCGTTTAACTGGCTTTTACAAGAACTTCATTGTCCTTCAGCAACTACTACTCTCCTTTTTCTCCATTTGCTAGAATTCCCTGGTGCGACTGCTACCGCCACTGTTCGGGTTCCAGACATCTGAATCCAAAAAAAAAGAGCCCTGACAACAACCTCACTCACTATATACGGGACACATGATGAAGGAGGTATAAGACTACTGTCACGAACAAAACACACTAAATGACAGCTGAATACTCCAGAAAACTTTATTAACCTGTAAACTCCTCCTCCAAAAGACAGTTCAGTAATCCTCTACTGTCAATTCAATTTTTCTGTGAATTTTTTTTTCAATTTTTCGGTAATTTTTTACTTTTTTCTTGAAAAAAAATTGACGGCAAATACCAATTTGTAATAGAAGCCAAAAAAAAGTAAAGATTTTCATGCTTCAATTAAATAAAGACGGCCGTCAACTTTTTTTGTCTCTGGGTCTTATTTTGCCTTTTAAATACAAAATTTTTTCTTTTTCAGATCTTCAAAAAACAAATTAAATTATATGGAGGCTGACCGACTACTCGAAAGCAAATTACTATATTACTGTAGAGCAAAACTAGAACGTTTAAGTGACGTACAATAATTATTAACTAAGAGAAATATGAAGCAGTTGAGCAAAATGATAAATTTCACTTAAAGTGCTACCTTTCCCACCAAACACTTCTGTCCCAGAAAAAACGTTCGGAAATCCCGAAAGGTTTAAAATACCCATTACAATGATCAATGAAAAGATCACTTCTACCAAATGGAAATTTGCCAATCATCTTTTCAACCTTTAATGCCAACAATCCGTTGGCGCCAGTTGTAACAACCCGCGGCTGACAGTTTCGAAATAAAGCTGAACATGTTTTCTTACTGGGACTCGGAGGTCGTAGCAGGGATTTTGCCTCCTCAGCGGTGAACTACAACATTTTCCAGCAAGGTTCTGTACCTGTTCCACATAAAGAGTGCATAGCAGTTGTTTAGGGTTTTGTTTTGTACTCTTTCGCTGTAGCGCTTTTTGATCATTTCATTTTCTATCAGTAGATCTTGGAAAGGTTTTAAGTTTTCACGGTCGATAATTTTTGTTATCTGGCTTTACGATTTTGTTATCGCTGTGATTTCAGGAGTTTCCAGCAGGTTGAGGTTTTTAAGAAATTAGAAATATGGAATCGACAAGGCAGAACCGTAAGAGGACTAGAAAAAGCTGTGTTGTTCCGAAATCAGTTACTGTCAACGAAAGCAGCAGAAGTAATGATTCTAGTGTCATTAGTGTCAGTAAAAGCGTGAGGAAGCAGACTTCTAAAAAAATGGGTTACTGTTTATTTTTGTTGACAAACTTGCCCTTTTTCGTAAGAAAAAAAGAATTTCTATGATGTTGTTATTGCTGCGGTTTTTTGTTAGGTTTGTCTTTTAAAACTGTAAGAATGACTTTGAGATGCGGTGGAAATTTCAGGTTTGTCGAAAACGAAAAGAGCGAATGAAGAATGTGACTCTAAAAAAAAGGGTAGAGGGAATTTTAAAAGAAAGCAGGCAGAAAAGAGTAGTGAAGCGGAGTATTCGAGCGATGACGACTTTGTAATGCCATCTTCATCTGCAAAAAAGAAAAAGCTTACTCGGAAACAAAAAGGTAAATTTCCTTCATGTCTTGTTCAGCCTTTGTTTTATTAAAAGTCGTTATTTTTAAGGCTTATAAATTACCATTCATTTGTCGCCAAAAGCTGTGCAAAACTCTGTAGCAGAGTGAAGTTTTCTAAATTTGTTTTTTTCAACTCCTTTTCAAAAATTCACAGTTTTTGGGTTTTATCTGGATCTAACATTTGTAAGAGTCAATTTATGTGGTGTACTGCGGGGTACAGTGAATGACGACTGGATACAAACATTTAGCTTTTAAGCGAATGCAGTGAAGTGGTAGAGCACAACTGAGGCTGAGTTAACGTAGCGCTTCCAACGTATTCCAAAAAACATTACTCAGTAATTTTCTTCATTTTCATGTTTTGACTAAGCGACTCGCCGTTTGCAAGCGTTTTCAGTACCGATGTTCCTGTTCCTCGTTTCTTTTTTTTTCTTCTTTTTTTTTTTTTTTTGAATTTTATTAGGGTTCCTTATCTTCTTTTCCAGGAGTTAATAGTGTGGTGCGGAGGACCCGGAAGAAGAATGCAGAGATGGAGATTCGAGATAGTGAGAAGAAAGGGTGCTCGAGACGCTCGGGTCTCAGCTCTGGCTCGTCAATTGGATCTGAGGATGAGTGGATGGATGTGGAGGAAGGCACAAGTTACTCTGCTCCGAAGCCAGGTACGCAAGATGTGGAGATTACTCTGGGAGAAGCCCCACAAACGGAAACTCCCGAGAGCAAAGCAGCCAAGTTTCTTCGTCTAGAAGTAAACAGGCGAATCAGAGAGCGTCAAGTTAAGTGCCATAAGGTAATTTCAGTGAAAACCTAAACAGCTTCTCTCTTTGGAAACTGCCGGAGCTGTCTTTTCTTTTTGCTTTTCTTTCAGATGCATATTTTATGTTACATCGCACATTTGAAATTTTGGGCCCGTGCTCTTGTGCGAAGTGAATTTTTAAAACCGCTTTGCTTTTCCTTGATTCCTGATGGTTATGTTACCGCTGCTGAACATATTTTCGATACTCTATTAGTTGAACGTTTTATAAAGTGGTTAACGTCTGCGTTCACCCCCTCCACTGTGACGTATCCAATTAACAAAGGAGGTGCTTCTGCTCAGGTATTACTTTACGGAAATTTTAGGCTGGTAGCTTTGAGGGTTGCTCGGCGTAGTGAGAAAAGTACTGTACTATTCTTGCCTTTTTTACGCAACAGTATGATATGTAATTGAAGCATAGTAGGCCTTATTCTTATGCACTTTTTGTCTGCCAGTTGTTTGATGTTGCTCGGCATTGGTTTTTCGATTTTTTGAACTACGTAATTTATGGAGAACTGTTACTTTTTTAAGTTCAGGTGGAACGTCTTGAGAAGTTAATCAACGACAAAGTTTACGAGGATGATAGAGATCTTGCATTTGTTAGTTTTCTCAATATTCAGCTGATTGACTTTTGTATCTCAATACTTACTGCTGGATTTTACAGTCTTTGACGACATAATGATCCCCAGTATAACTTTTAGATCACGTTTCTTTTTATCCTGGCATTAAAACAGTCTGTACGATTAGTCATGTCATGTCAAGTTACACCATTGAAAGTGGTAGGTATTTCTATCATTTACATTTTTATTTTCCTTGTTTTGCTTAAGCATATCTTCTGCTGACGTAATGATTGATTCTTCTGTATAGGATCTTGACGAGTTGCTTGGCAGAGTGAGTACTGGTATAGGTTGTTCGAAGAAAGAAGTTGACAAAACAGATTTGAAGCGAAGTTCCCAAAAAGTTAAAGAGGATGGCAAGCAGAAGAAGGTCAACAAGAAAATTTCCTTTGAAAGAAATTACTGGGTTGAGTACTGGGACGAGGTGGCAGAACGTTGGATCTGTAAATGTTCACAATTTATTAGTAGAAAATGCTAATAAGGGCATTTTATTCTTGTTGTATCTTGAGTTGTGCTTTTCTCATTTAAACATTGATTATCGTTTGAGGCGTAGATCCCTGGTTTAAAACTGTTGATTTGCCGTCGTCAATCGAAGCACATTCAACGGCGCCGATGCATTATGTTTTTGCTGTTGATGATGGTTAGTAATGTTATTTTTGTATAGTTTATTCTCCTAATTTTTTTTGTTCCGTTGTTGCTTATCATGGTTTCATTGGAATTGAATGGTTTAGCAGAAGGTTTACGTGATGTTACTTCTCGATACGCTTCTCGCTATCTTTATAGCGATGTTCGACGGCTAAGAGTAGATTCAGAATGGTTGAAAGCAACCACTAAGGTAAAAGCCCCAATTAACTCTAGTTTCTGAAAATTGCAACATTGTTTGTTTTATTTTCTTTCTGAAACTTCTGTACTTTGAACTCGTCTGTGCTTTTTCTTTTTCAAATGTCACCGAGTTATGCGATCAATATTTTCATCTTTTCAAATTTCTTTAACTGCTACGAAATATTGACATATGAGTATTGGCTGATTGGGTTCGGATTTTTCGGGTCGCATGAAAACCGTAACTTTTTTGTATTTAAGAGCTAGCGTTTGATTGTCTATTTGCTGCTGCTGAGATCTGTGAGGAAATGAGTATCTTATTGGAAGTGCTGTGTAAACCAGTAACTAATCTTTTATTCTTCTCGGCTTTTAGTGTTTTCGTAGCAAAAATCGAGCGCGAGAAAGGTTGGAGGACATTGAGCTGCACAATTTTCTTATGTCGCAGCCGATGCCGACCAATGTTGCTGATTTCAAGAACCATCCACTGTAAATGGTTTTTTGCTTTAGTTTTCTGGATAACTTGTTTTTGATTCAAAAATCCCTACTCTTTGTCAAATGTATTGAAGTTCACTTTCTCTGAGAATTCCCTTTGCGGACTCTAATCACCGAAATTTCTTTAAGCTATGTTTTGAAGAAGGATCTTCTAAAATTTGAAGCCATATATCCGCCTGATCAACCACCCATGGGAAAAATTCGTGACATAGATATATACCCAAGAAGTTCTGTATATCATTTGGATGGTTCATTGAATTGGATTAAGAAAGCACGTTCGATCAAGGTAATCATAAAAAAATTGTTTTGCAGATTGTGATCGGAAGAACGTATCATTATGCTTTTGTACTTGTAGGTTGACTAACGCGCGTTAAGTAAATTCTGCAGTTAGTAATAGTAGTGATTGTGTTCTTGTTGCGAAATGGTGTGCAATTTTTTTTCTTTTGCAGCCCGGGGAGCAACCTTATAAAGTTGTAAAGGCTCGTCCAGACGTTCGTGTACCAAAGGAGCAAAGACAGCTGGACAGAACGTTGGATCTTTATGGCTACTGGCAAACAGAACCTTATGTGCCACCAAAAGTCATTAACGTAATCCGCACTGCTTTTTGCTTCAAAGAAGTTTTCAGCTGTCCTCAGCTCAGTAGTGTGTTCTATAAATTAAGGCTATTGGATTTTTTTTTTGTGGAAACCTGACAGATAATACTGTTTCATATTTTCTACGTTTAATGCAACCAGTTTAGGGAAGAATACCGAGAAATGAACATGGAAACCTTTACTTGTATAAGAAATCTATGCTTCCGGAAGGATGTGCGTACTTACAACTTGACGGACTGTATGGGCTTGCGCGACGTTTGAATTTTGAATGTGTTCCTTGTGTAGTCGGTTGGGAATTTCATAAAAACGGAAATCATCCCATGTATGTGCTTTTCTTGTTAAATTGTTGCAAAGGGAAGTACAAGGCAAAAATAGAAACAGTTTTTGAAGTTGAGTTTCCTTTCTCAACTGATGTAATTTCGTTTCTTGATGGAGGTAAGTAAGCAGATGAACAGGTGTATTTATATATTTACAGATATTTAGCTTTAGATTTATCTGTTTATACACTTTGTTCTCTTCCTTCCATCCTATTTTCACTGGTTTTCGTTGCCAGTTGGGCTATGCTTTTATCTGACAACAAGTGTATTTCTCACTGTTCGTCCTGTAGCTTCTTTAAGTTTCTTGTAGTATCGATGGTTGTGCTGTGTTGAAAAAAGATGAAAAAACGCTTCGAGATGCATGGTCACAAGAGTTTGAGAAGAAAGCTGTACGGGCTCGACAGGTAGATATTCAAAGATGTTTTCTTCGTATTCGATTTTTTCCCAGTATTTTAATGCCTTAAATGCGATTGCTTATTTTCTTAACTCCCAGAGGTGTAGAGAACGAGCCAGAAAGAACTGGCGCCGGTTGTATCGCGGTGTTATTTTGATGAAAAGGGTCAGAGCTAGATTTTCGAACAACGATAAACAGCTTTTGGTTAGTTTTTCTCGAAGCAGCCATTGTGTATTTTTTATATTACACTGTAAAGAAGTGTAAATTTTCAAAGCAATGTTTAATTCATGACGAATGTTATTAATTATTTCATTCAGAAAGAGAATTTATTGTTTTTAAGAATGTTGATGAACAGTTCGAAGAGGACAGCAAAGAAGACGAGATTGCGGAATCAGCTCTTTCGTGGCCTAGAGCTGATTTCAACCTCCCACTTTCGGAGACAAAGGAAAAGGATGGGGAAGATAGTTGAAGCGTTGTACATTCCAATTCTGAGGGTATCGCAGTTTTTTCCTGGGTCATTTTTTGCTGTTGCATCATTGGCTTGGTCACGTTTCTTAATAATTGGCACGGGTCGAGAATTTTTTTCAAGTATTAAGTGCTGGATGAACCCGTGCTTCTTTAGCCACCACTTGAACTTAACCATATATATATATTTATATATCTGCTAAGCAATAGCAGAGATGAAGTTGTTTGGGAACGAATAATTTGAGGAAAAGGTGAATGAATTGGTGAGATACTTTAAGTCGTTTTCTTGCTTTAAAAAACTGCTTTTAAACTCCTTCACCTCTGTTAGTATGGTCGTAACACCACGGTGACTGCGACAGTTATAACATGATTAAAGTGTGAAAGTACTGGTGCCCGAGTGTAGAATTTTTTCTAAGATGGACAGGAAGGGAAATAAATATCGAGAGGTAGTTGTTTGCGTTCTATTGCTTATAAAGAAACGGTTTAAACAGGGTAATGGAAGAGAGGGGATCGAATACTTTATTCCTAGTTTCATGTTTCATGAAATTGCAGTTAGTTTTTTGTGAGCCATATCTCTTTCAAGCACTCAGACATCGGATTTCTTGTATTCTCCGTTGCAAGTCTTGTAGCAAAAACAACATCTTAGGTTGCAGAAACATTTGTCGTGCCATGTCTAAATGGGTAGTATTGTCCTGGAGGCTGAAGCGTCATAATATGTATTTGCTAGCGACGGACATGCATTTTTTGAAGACTTCTTAATAAGAGTTCCATTGGAGCTCCGCACAAATGGCTGTTTACTACCCAGCAGTAGGCAGTGAGAGGTGAACCCAGATTTTCATCAGTAATAATCATTGCTGCTGTGCAAACGATGCTACGGCTCGTGTGTTGTGTTAAGCCGGAATTTTCCTGGAGAAATTCCAACCGGTCACTGTGCTAGGCGTTGTCGTGTTGTCAGAAAGCAGTGTCTAATTGACGACAAAAGGTGTGTATACTGCTAATCCGTTAGTTGGGAATTATCAGCTACAAATGGTTTGCTTTAACGAGCGCTAGTTTGAGTTTGCTCGGACATATGACGAATGCATAATTCGGGAAGCCATTCTGCTGCTGACCGATTGTCAGCCGCGCGCCTTTTGCATCGTGCTTGGTGTGCCGCTTTTGACAAAGAATAAAACGAAGGCAGTGCATCACCGGTCATGCACGCCGTCTATAATGGCAGTCATTTTGCCACCACTAATTCCCCATTCGTTTTACACATTTCAGTTTTAACTTCTCATATTTTTCCTTCTTCAACACCTGTTGTAGTTCATGTCTCGCTTGCTTCTCAATTACATTTTCTTTTTTTTTTTTTTGGAGGTTGAAAAAGTCAAGGTGTGAAGAACGAAGGATTTGACATCCATCTCCGTATTCAATTTGAATTTTCAAAAGTTTTTTACTCCGTCAAAAACTTTCGAGTATGGAAGCAAAACGTGAGAACTGAGTATTATTAATGAGAAGAAAAAGCAATTTACGGATCTTTTTCACCTGGTGTTTGAAATTTTGCAGCCATTTCAGAAATTGGTTTCCTCCGTCTTTTTATTTTTAATTTTTTAGTATTTCACTTCAATTAAATACTCTTACTTTTTTGTAAGTAGCCAATAAATTAAGTTTTTTTGAGATTTTTATGATCTAATAGTTATTTTTCCTTTTGCGTAAGTTTTCTCCTTACCGCTATTTTGAATGACCGATAGTTGCTATTGTGTCTGGGACGCTTGTTGAACATGTCACCAAATGTGTTTCGCATCATCGGAAGATAGGCAATTTTTTATAATTCAGTGGTGTAGCATCTGTACTTTTTACATTCGCCGATCCAATCTACATTTTAGCAGCCACTAGTCTAAAACTTTAGCAATGAGTATAATTTTAAATATAAATGTAAATCATGTATTTATTTTCTTTTTCTGCCCATATATTTGTTTGTAAATATAAGTATTCACAAATATAGATATAAATAAGCAATTATATATATGGAGAGAGAGCGGCGAAATCTACATCTAATTTTTTCGAAATCTTTTCAAAGTCGTAGTTGCTTCGTTGTTTTAGTGTCTATTTTATATAATTTACGAGCTTAGCTAATGAAAATTTTGTTTTATTAGAGAAAATTAAGTTACTCTATTGAGCGGTGTTATCTCAACCTTCCTCTTCACCTTGATCTCAACAAGTTGTTACCAGTTTCCCTTTTAAACTTTGATTTAGGGTTTCCTCTCAGTCATGGAACTGTCTGAAGAGTCGTTTGACAATCTCTTGGTTGAAAGTGATGATGATGTATGCACGGTGTTAGCAAGCTTTGTAGAAGAAGATGAAATTGACGCTGCAGTTGAAAGGGAGAAGGAAGAGGAGATCTCTGATGAAGAAGAAGAAGAGGCGGGCGACTGTAGTGACTGGAAAGAAGCTGTTCAAAAATTTGAAAGATGGAAATTTAACGATAGTTCAGGGCTGAACTATGCAGCAGTAAAAGGTTGCAGAGAGCCGATTGATTTTTATGACCTATTTGTGAACGAAGACTTATTGGGACTGATTGTTAAAGAGACAAATCGTTATGCTTTTTCGAAAGACTCGCAATGGGAGGAGACAAGTGCCTACGAAATGAGGAAGTTTCTTGCACTAACAATGCAAATGGGAGTAGTCAAACTACCGGCTATCAGCAACTATTGGTCAACTGATATCGTTTTTGGTGGTAAGCCAGTAGGTGCCTCTGTAATGACGAGAAAAAGGTTTGAGAGGTTATTAGCAAACTTGCATCTGGCAGATAATGAAACGGCCGATAAGACTAACTGTTTGTACAAGATTTCTGGTTTCTTAGATTTGTTTGTGCGGCAGTGCCAATTGCTCTACCGCCCAGCACAAAATGTGTTCATCGATGAAAATCTTATTCCATTCGGTAGAAGAACAAGGTTCCAGCAAAACAACTTAAGTAATCAGAACTGTCATAGCATAAAAATTCTCAAACTGTACTCTTCTAGCGGTTACACTTTCAACATCATGGTTTATGCGGGAAATTTAAATAAAGGAGGTGATAACGAGGCTGGAGCGGTTGTAGTTAACTTAATGGAGGGACTTCTTGACAGCGGACGCCGACTGTTTGCAGACAGTTGGTGTGCTACTGTACCCTTAGCAAAAAAATTATTAACTCGAAAAACGGACTTGGTTGGTATTGTAAGGAAGGATCGAAAGGGTTTACCGAAAAAAGTAAGTAAGAAGCCAATGAGACGAGGGTGTTTTTTGGCTCGGCAAGATCCAAACGGAATCATGGTTTTAAAATGGAAAGACGATCAAGAGGTACTGGTACTGTCTACTGTACATGATGATTCAGTAGGTGATGCGCATAAGCCACAGGTAATAATTGATTATAATGACAATAAGTCATCAGTTACGGATTTTTCTGATGAAACAGCTCCTTATCTACCATTCATAAGAAAAACAACCAAATGGTATATTCGGGTACTCTTCCATGTTTTGTGCCAAATTGCTGTAATGAACGCGTGGCACATTTATAACAGCTTCTTTGAGCGTAAGATGAAATTGATTGAGTTCAAAATTTCCGTTATTCGCTCCTTATTGGAACTGCAGTGTCCATCTGAAATTCCACCGCGCCACACACTGGAAGAGGTCCCAGGTCCTAAACGCCACACGAATCGTCGTTGTGTTAATTGCTACAGAGAATTATCACGAAAGCTTGGAGCGTATGCGGGTAGAACCCGGGCAAAACAAGTAAATACACGATGCAGCAACTGTAAATCACACTTTTGCTTGTCGTGTTTTCAGAACAAACACAAAACTTGTTAAAATGTTGCTTTAATTGGTGTAATAATTTCAGGAAAACTTGGGTTGAAAAATACTTGCTTTATTTTCTCGTACTGTACATTCTGAGACTCTTCACATTCGTTTCCGTCACGGAAACCGGTGAAGGTTGTAGATCTTTTACACTTTTGTTTTACATGTCACTTATATAATCTGTGGTGTTTTGACAGTTTCCTTTCTCTTGCAAAAGTTTGAACTTTTTTTACATTTTTCGTTGGTTATGTTCTTCATTTTTTTGTATTTAGAAACGTTCTAAAATTTTTTCACCTAATAAATTTTTAACTTCTCATTTTAGATTACATGCTTGGAGTTTGTAATTTATAGGGGGCTAGTGTTAAGTGGATAATTTTGGTGAACCAGAAAAAAAAACTGGAGTTCTTGTTGCAGAGAATATTATTTTAATTTGTGTATCCCACTAGTTGATGGAACACTGTTTGAAGTAGTTAAATGGCCTCTTCACAAACCATTAATTTAAAAATGAAGTTTTTTTATAAAGTAGATTAGAGGGGTTATTGAGATCACTTTTTATCAAGCAAGATGTTGCAAAAAGAAAAAAAATAAGCCGCCGTTGGAAATGTGCTCTTAGTCCGTTTCATAATAATGAAAATTATTTGGGATTTTCAATGAAGCAACTACAAAAGTCCTATCCTAGTAATCTGAGAGATAAATCAGTTGAGGCACACTGTCCAAAAAAAAAAAAGGATACGTTTTATGTCACTCTCTGCGATCGTCATATTTAGCGGTCGCTTAGATGGAAAGGAGCAGAATAATATGAATGGCTACCAGTTCCAATTACCCTTTTCAGAGGTTCAGCATGAGTGGGGAACAAACGGATATACACTTGCAGCTGTCTCTATAGAAGAATAGAAAGAGTCGGAATTTATAAGAACCGGTCATTTCCAAAAGAAATATATCTAAAGGTACCACTGCTGAAAAAACTGCTTCTTTATCTGAAGAGGTTATGAGAAGTTTGGGCCAAATAAAATTACTGTGCTACACGGAGGATTGTAAACATGCGTGAAATTTGCTTTATTAGTATTATTTTCTTAATGCATAAATCTCCTTTGTGAATAACTCCTATATAAAAACTGTATAAAAGTAAAAGCACCGTGACCGGATTAAAAACAGAGCTTGAATAACAAAAATGATAGGCATGACCTCCAAACTGACTTATTCAATCTCTCGTTTCAGCAGATACTTTTACACCTGCAAGCGGCTCATAAAGCGTGAGGAATTTCACCCTGCAAATTACTTCTGTCCGTGTGGTATAATTTTTGACCACTTCCCCTCAGAGCTGAGACCTGCAATTTGCATGGTGTCCTCAATATCCAGTGAAAAAACAATTCCAACGTCAGCACTTCTTCAGTCAATAAAGTTTTCAAACAGCGAAAGACAGTCTGCTGAGGACGGTACAATGTCTGAGAAATGAATTCAATAAAGACTAAAACGGTGTGGGTGACTTTCTTGTGCAAACAGCAACCGCTAAACGTAGTTTAGAAATTAATAAGTTACGGGTTTTGAATTTCAAAGAAAAAAAGGACAGGAAAAGAACAGCAGTTTGAAATCCACAAAACTTTGGGTAATCAAGGACTCAAAGTCTACTCCACTAAAAAACCCAGACAGCACTTTATAACACCCAAAAGCAGCTAAAAAGCTCTCAAATATCAGTTGACTTCCAATGCTTGCCGCAAAGGCACACCTCAACTACATGAAGGTATTAATCTCTCCCCGGATTATTTGGGCGATAGTTCAAATGGGGCTCCTGGCTGTTTAAGAAACTACGGCACCAGAGGAATGGTGATTAGAACGGTCGGCTTAAGCACTAGAAGAGACTTAACTTACGGCCGGTAAATAATGCTAATCAAGTTTTGCTCTTTGTTAACAAGACGAAGCTACTGAGAGACACCACGGTAGCTGCAAAACAAAGTTGCGGTTCTCTCAGTCAGTCCCCACTCTCCACGCTGCCTTCTAAAAACTAACACTCTCAACATTTCTTGGTAGTTTACGCTTCACGAACTTTTCTAGCATGACCGTATAGGGCAATTTCTATCCGGAATAGAAACAGAACAAGGCTAAATGCTTCTCAGCCGCAATTGTAACTTTACAGTGATGAATGCGTTCAACCAATATTTCCAAACTTTTTCTGATTTCCCGCTCCATTTCTGTCTACAAACTCTGCTACCGCATCTCATGCTAGGCCGTCTTATCCACTCCTGCATCTGCTTCCTCCTATCTAAATGTGCCCATTTCCAATACATAGCAGTACAGTACAACTCCGGTGGGGAAAACTACCCGATTCTTTCTGTGTTTGCCATTATAGACATCTTCATTGAGTATCCTTCCAACTTCCAGCCAACTCATTCCCAACTCCGCCCATCACGTTGACCAAAATTGTCTGCCGCCTAATGTTGCCATCCGTGAACAGCGCTGTCACAAACTAAAACCAGCAACTGCTTCATATCCTTGTAGATCAGCAGCTATGAAAGACAGGAATACATCGGCCGTAGAAAGCTCAAAAACTCCAATACAGCAAAAGAATAAAGCACTAACGCTTCAATAACATAGGCTGCAAAAGTCCCTAACAACCACTGTTAAACCACAGTTGAATGCTTGGAAATTTCCAAACCGATCCAGGAGAAACCAATATGGACATCTGCAAAACCTCACCTATTGCAAAGTAGCTCACGTACGTGCTACTTCATCCTTACAACTACCAGTTTGACCCCTAGAGTACCGAAATAACCAGCAACTTACGGCTTCACGACCTGACTGCAAACTAAAAAGAAAACATTCTATCACCATAACCAAAACCTAATGCAGAACTGAAA